AAGCGATCGGTAGAGACGCCCAATCGCTTTAATGTAAACAGCCATCCAAGAAGCTCCCGGCTGACCGGGAAGCTACTTGTCTGGCTCCGGCGTCCCCTTGTCACAGATGAGATGACGAGTGAATTTTCAAGCCCTGCACATGACCGTTCAGAGGTTGTGTTAGACCTGCTTTGCATTGTGCTGCATATTTTAGGTCTTATGGAAGTGTGTTTGGACTGAATACAAAGCTGGTCAGACAACCTTTTCATGTCAATCTGCGTTTTTCACTTGTGCATGCATTGGAATAAAAAATGCCGTGTTTGACAAGAACGCACGGACAGCTACTCATGTGTGAATGGAGTCTGAGCACTCATGTAGACCAGTGTTTTCCTGCATTTAACATGTGCTAGAAATGCACATCAAACGCAGTTCAGCAAAGTCCCATTTAAAGGAGCAGTGTAGATGACAGTACAGAGGCTGCATTTGACCTGCTTTTCTTTGGCTGCAGAACATAGTTACATAGAACACATCTTGAGCTCTAAGGAACAGCTTTTGTTAAAGGTAAACACACTAATCTTGTGGTGGTAAACATTCTGGATATAGAGGCTTCAAGTGTGACCCCCCTCACCACAGGGCCGCACAATCAGTAAATGTAATGTTACAGTGAGCTATCGGAGACTGGAGGAGATGGTGACTACAAACTACAAGAAATAGTTGGACAGCTAACATGTTGCAGGAGGTGGTCAAAGACTTGAGAGGTTCTATAGGAGTTTTTGGAGACTGGGGACACGCTTCAGGAGGCAGCCATAGACTGAAGACACGTTAATTGAGACTGCTGGAGATCACAGCTATGCAGCCTTTTTTAAAGCGGTGATTTCATGTTTATGTTGTCGTCCCCCATTAAAAGGAGTCATCGTTTTTAACCCTTTAGCTTTCTTAGATATATTCATGAGTTAATTTTGATCACTCTCGGCAAAGCTGCCCATACACTGTAATATTTTCTTTGTTCAACCTGCCAGCTAAATGAAGAAAATATAAGGGATTCCTCCATTTATGCTTATGAGTGTTGATCGAGGAATCTTCTTTTGTATTCTGATGGCCGCTGTCAGAATACCCAAACAGAGGTAACTGCTGATTGGTTGGCGGCTTTGTTTGTTCTAAGCTCCTTTGGTCAGCTGATCGAGGGATGGATGTGTGAAATTCGCTTAGTGTATGGCCAGTTTAAGTTGGATGTTGTTGTCGTCCCCGTCCCTAGCTTGCCATAGTTGGGCTGTAATTGTAAAGAAGCTGAGCATGGGGAAACTTTTGTAGGTTACCTTTTTATAGCACAAACTTTTGTCATTCCACGCATGACCCGTCATTATTGCTAAGCTATTCTGCTCTCTTGACTGATGCAGCGAAAATGACCTTCTACTTGTTCAGGGTTCATGACTGAGAAAGTATTAAATCCAGAACGTCCTCATAAAAGCCAGGCAATGAGCATTTTCATGTATTGTACATGGATTCCTCTGGATGTTTGTACCCAAGAGCTGTAAAATCAGAAAATGTCTTGAATAACACGACCCACACAGATGGCGCATTCATAGATTTGAATATCGGCCCTGTGTTATTCACCAGAAGTGAATGGGTGGACTGTAATGATGGGATGTTTGAAAATGTGAGGGAGGAGAACATTATGTAGAATATAGAGCCTTGTCAGCTGTATCCATGGAGATCTGTAGAAAACATCTAATCTCCCTGACTCCACAAGCTGACTTGTACCGTGCCTGACACAGGGGACTTGGCAGGCCGTGTTTACAAAGTTCCAGCAATTCTGTCTCTGTATTATTATTATACAGGATTTATATAGCGCCAACAGTTTGCACATTACAATATAAGGAGGACATTACAGTTGCAATACAATTCATGACAAGGAGGGCCCTGCCGGTGATAGTGATACATGAGGAGGTAGCTGTGTGGGGATGAATTGTTTGAGAACGCGATGGTTCAGTGGTTAGGTTGATGTGGGATAGGCTTCCCTATAGAGATGTCTTTAGGGATCAATGAAAGGCAGTCGGAATGGGAGGTAGTCGGACAGGTTGGGGTAAGGAGTACCAAAGAATGGGAGAGACTCTAGAGAAGTCCTGAAGGCAAGCATGAGAGGCAGCTATAGAGCAGGAGGTCTTGGGAGGAGCAGAGCGGACTGTTAGGGTGATACTTTTAGACAAGGTTTGAGATATAGCCGGGGACAGAGTTGTAGATGGCTTTGTAAGTGATTGTTAATATTTAGAATTTTATCCTCTGGGTGAGTCGAAGCCAGTGTAGGGATTAGCAGAGAGGGGCGGCAGACACTGAGCGGTTGGTTAGGAGGATGATTCTAGCAGCAGCATTCATGACAGACTGAAGGGGGAGGAGCCTGTGCAGTGGTAGCCAATGAGGAGGGAGTTTTAATAGTCGAGACGAGAGATCACAAGTGAGTGGATGAGTAATTTTGCGGTTTCTTTGGTGAGGAAGGGGCGTATTTTTGAGATGTTACGAAGGTGACGGCGGCAGGATTTGGATAGTGATTGGATGTGGTGAAGAAAGGTGAGGTCCTAGTCAGGGATGACACCTAGGACCTTGGCATGGGAGGAGGGATATAAAAATAAATTTTGCTTTAACTGTGTGGACAGCTCAGTATGTAGATGTACTTATGTCTGTGGCAGCTTTTTAATGGACACCCTGACACATCTTATGGCATCTAAGAGCAATGGTGGATTCTGGATACCACCGAATTTCATAGTGATTAGAGAATGTCATTTTCTGATTTTGTTCATACAATCTCTGTTTTCTTCATCTTTTTTAGGAAGTGGATGATAAGGTAGTAAGTCCAGAAAAGGCAGAAGAGGCCAAATTAAAAGCAAGGTATCCTCATCTGGGTCCTAAGCCAGGAGGTTCCGATTTCTTGAGGAAACGACTTCAGAAAGGGGTAAGCAACTTGAAAACTCATTGTTATTATTTCACTCTGGGGAGACTCCTTGAAAAGCTTTATGGGAGGGTAAGTCGCTTACTTCTGTGGTGGCCACAAGATGTGTCGCATTCAAATCTATGCTCCTACTATATACATGCTTTTGGATTATACTCTGTTTAAATGAGCCGAATACATTCCAGGTGCATAACAAATGTGTGCAAAGTCTTACAGATGGTTTCTTTAAGGAAACAAGATATGAAGAGAGAGGTTTGTTGCACTCCTTACCGCATAATCCCAAATATGGGGAAGGGTGCTTGGAATGACCGCGGATGGCGCCGCCAGTTGCAGAAAATAGAGATGTCACCAGCACACCAGACTGCTTCAAGGATAGTCCATCGTGAATTTATTCAAAACTTATGTCAAATACACAAGCGCTTTCGGGACCACACAAGATTTATTCATCAGGAATAGCAGTGACGTCACTGCTATGCCTGATGGAGGGATCCTGTGTGGTCCCGAAAGCGCTTGTGTATTTGACATAAGTTTTGAATAAATTCACGATGGACTATCCTTGAAGCAGTCTGGTGTGCTGGTGACATCTCTTTATTTTCTTTAGGGGAACGGCCACAGCCTGTGTAGAAAAGTATGTTGCCTGCCAGCAGAGTGGGATCCTTGCTTTCTGTGGGGTAGAAATGATCTCTTTCAAGACTTCCAACACACTGAGACACTCCAAGCTCTACAGCCAGTTGGGTTTTCCTGATTGTAGGATTTATAGTCTAACTCAGTAGGGGGTGTGTCACATCTCTAATGGAATTACTGCTTCCACACAAAGCAAGGGTCCCACTCTACAGTTGCTGGCAGTGGCTAGGCTTTTCTTCTCAGGATGGAGCTGCTTTAAAAACATAACACTGGCATTAAACACTTTTTTTTGTTTTGATGCACGTACAATGTATTTAGCAGATTTAAACTGAAGATTAAATTGGGTTTTAGTATTTCCCAAAAGTGCCACCACAGTCAGGTGTAAAATGCTGGGATTGTGAAATACTTACACTTGCAGAGTTTTCACTTCCTCCTTTGAAAGGGCAAAATGACTTCAGTTTGGCAAAGCAATGCACACTGGGATTGCCTTTAGTTCAGCAGAGCACTGCTGGGAAATCTAATCTGTAATCTCAGGGAAATGCATTTTCCTCCCCTGAGATGATGTGCATGGTCACATGTACTGTCTAGTCACATGTGCCAGAAATCCAGGAAGTAAATGAAGAGTTAGTAATCTGCCCTTGGTAAACATGGCCACGATCAGAAGACTGGGAAAGAAAAGAGAAATAAGGTATGCAAAGAATACAAATCCGGCAATTATCTAGAAGTATGTGATTGTAATTACTAAACATTTCTAAAGGTGTGTGTGCGTGTGTTGTTATTTTGAAGATATGGGTAAAGGGTACCTTTTAGGGCACCTGAATGCGTATTTAAGGTTTAACTCCTGAGTTTAGTGTCATTTTGAATGCGTTATTTCCAGACATTTGACCATTTGATAACTTTGTCTTAAACTGGAGCTCTGCTTTAATTCCAGGCTCCTTAACCCCTCTGTAACCCTCACTTCTCCTTGTACACTCTTCTCCAATCTGAGAGCATCGGGATTGAGAGAACGCTCTGTAGGACCCTTCCAATTCCACACCACAGCCTGTATTCTATGAATGACTCGTACAATGCAGACACATTGTGGAGTGATGGCAATATCCAATCTGGATGTATAAATGGGCCCTTGGGTTGATAGGTTTGGGTGTATTTATTATATATCATCCTTCCTTTTTGAATCTCTTAGAATTGCAATGACAGTATTTAAGAGTAACGTGTCTTTTTGTTTTTTCTTTTCCAGCAAAAATATTTTGACTCTGGTGACTACAACATGGCTAAAGCAAAAATTAAGAACAAGCAACTTCCAACAACTACTGCTCCAGACAAGACAGAGGTTACAGGGGATCATATTCCTACTCCACAGGATCTTCCCCAGAGGAAACCTTCCCTTGTGGCCAGCAAGCTGGCTGGCTGAGCTGGCCTGCCTGCATGAAATCCACCTCATTCCCATCTCTCTTCCTTTATAACCTTCTGTTATTCTTTGATCCTCCTCCCTGTACAGTAATAGTCAGTCTGACAGCTTAGCAGGCAAGAGTAGTGCAAGCTGCTGTCTTGAGTGTAGGATGAAATTCTCTAGTATCAGATTAGTTGTTTAAACCGATGCACTGATAAACAGGCCTGTTTCTGGTATAGCAATGTAAAGAAATTTACTTGAAAACAACGACAAACAAAAAGACAAATGTACATAATGCCTATTTCCTACTGGTAGGACACTTTGGGTGTTACCATTTTAATGTCTGCTTTCCTTCTAGTCACTTAATAATTTCCTCATACTGTACTAAGTTTTTGTATTTAAGATTTTTTCCTTCTCTCTCGTTTTTGAAGTTAGACAAATGTTTTTTTCGCAAAGAAGCAAAGCAAAATGTCAAATCAACTTGGGTTCTAAAAGTGTTGTTTTTTTTTTTTCTCTCCTTTATTCTGCCCTTTTAACTTGAATGGCCTTAAACCTTTCTCAGCTTTAACGACAGGATTGGACTTGGGCAATATTTGCTCACCGCTGTAACCTTTCGTGATTCTAGTACACATGAAAGTGGCCCCGTTGAAGCTGGCATCTTTCCTGGTGAATAGCGTAGAACCTTACGTTGAAGAGTTGGATGACGTGCGCATGTGCATAGACTGTTGAATTCACTTTTGTGCCATTTTGTAAATACAATAGTTTTGCACAACCTTTTTGCAAACGTGTACTAATTTTTCCAGTTTACAAGATCTATATGTAAATCTGTAGCACACTTTAGCTCCATTAATTCCTGGCAGCGTTTTATTTCCCATAGTTATTGCCACCATCCAGGATTCCTGTCTTGTGCGTGAATTTACAGCCGCAAAGATTTGGCCTGCCCATGCTGCTGCGAGATCACCTTAATGGTGTTGAAGCAGGTATCCCTTATTAGATCTTGTATTTGTAGTAACATCACCGATTGTTGATTTTGCCTGTCAGCATAGTGTGAATTGCATGCGTTCTGCGCCTGACTCCATTCACAGTGGTCCTGCATGCCACTGTTGTGATCTGCATGCACCCATCTGCGGCAGAAAAGGGTATTTTGCCAGACTGCAGCACTTGCTAGGCCAGTGGGGGGGGTGACCTTCATCACTGCAGATATTGCTAAGGTGGCATATTCCAGATGTACAGTTTCTTTGGAAGTGGTGTTCAGCAACAATGGAGTTGCCCGGTGTTGCTTATGCGTGTGGAGGATGTGCACATTGCCTCTTGTAAACATTGAGTTTGGAACAGGGTTGTGACCAGCATTGATATGGTAATGCATTTGGGACACAGATAATATTTAAGCAAAACAAATATCTGTAATTTATTGGTATAGAAATCTTATTATTTTTTTTCTCTGCTAAACCCTTGAGGTGTATAATATTACAGTGCTTATTGGTGTTCTGCAGTTGTTAACTGGTATCGACACTTAAAAGTAGTTTAATGTTGCATAAGACCTCCAATCATGCTGGATATACTGAACATTTATGAATATTGTTAATAAAGATTGCAACTGTACTTGGTCTCCTTTTTTACATGTTGTCATATCTATTCTTGTTTAATCAGTCAGTGACTCAATGTACTGAAGCTATATCATGATTATAAGTATTTCTGATACATGCTTGTGCCTGGCTTCTTAATCCGAACTATTGAAGTCAGAACACGAGTACTATGCGTAGAAGAGTACAGATTGGCAACTGCATACAGGAACAGTATTCCTTCAATTGAATCAATGGAATTGAAGTAGGACTTGTGCACAAAACTGTCGTACAATAATCACACTTAAGCTTTTTATATTTTTAGGGCTCGTTCATACCAGCCGTAATGGGCAGTGTTGCTCAACGCAGTGCCATTAGAAGACTCGCTAATTTGACTCATGTCCTATTCAATTCACACCAACACCGCAGTGGGAAAAAAAAGTTGCATTTTAAAGCAGTGCTTTGCAATGTGCTGCTGTGCATAGAGTTAAATTGTCAGGTTTAATAAAGTTTGCGTTGTGCAATGTATAACAGTGTGTTCACGCACACCAGCAACGTTGAAAAAAAGTTAATCAGACCCCCTTCATACCAGGGCGACAGCATTTAAGCGCACTTTACACATATTAGGTTAATTTTCAGTTGTCCAATGACAAGCAGTCTCAGCTGCCAATACGCTCTAATAAAAAAAAGAGCAAAAATGTGCTGACCGGCGTGTTACTATTGAAGTCTATGAAGCAAAAGTGCTGATAAGTGCCACAAAAGAAGATCAGGGACTATTTAAAACAATAGGCGTATTTGTACGTGCTATTCGGCACGTTTGTGTGAACAGCTCCCTTATGAATACATGGGATTTTAATTTGCATGCATTTCAGCGCAGAAAAACATGTGACGAAACGCCCTGGTATGAACGGGGCCTTACAGAAAAATCTTTGTATTTTTCAGCACTCCTAATCCTTGAATATTTACATAATTATAAAATACTTCTGTTTTCCAACAAGTCTACGATAGTTGGAATCTGTTTTTCTCAAAGCAATCTCTCCATTTGAAGAAAGACGCAATGGAAATGAGAGGTGGGCACTGTGGGATATTCTAAACGCGTATCATATCTATGTACAGACTTTGCTTTGTCTTCAGCCCTTTGCAAGTATTATGGTTAGGCCAGTTCTCAGCCTTGGAAACTGCAGCAGCTGTGATCTTGGTGTGACTGCTTCAGGATGCTGCTGTTTATTTACGCTGGGCAGTCCTAAACCAGTTAAAAGCCACACCTTAAGACCAATCACAGATAAGTGGCATATGTGAAAATGGACCTTGCAGTAAGAATGGTCACCAGGACAAATGGATTAGATGGTTAATCTCAGAAGGCAGAGGGAATAAAAACCTAACAGAGGTTCTAACCCTTCCCCACTCTAAAACTAAAAAATGTTTGCCTTTTTAGATATAGATCAAATATAAAAAACATAGTAGGGGGAAAAAGTTATTAAACATACTTAACTTACCTGGGTTTCAGCCCTTGGTGCCTAGGTGAGGATGACACGACCACCCTTTAGGTGAGATCCTGGGGAATGCTGCATTTCGGGTACACAGCATTCTCCAGGATCTTATCAGAAGGAAGGTAAGGTCTTCCCCCTACAGTACAGAAGCTGACGGTAAGGTAAATGTATGTGTGTGTATATATATATATAATTCCATTTTTTTTCCCTGTGAGTGGGGGAAGGGCCCTGATATATTCAGTAGTTTTTTTTTTTTTTTTTTATATTGTCTTAGATACATGAAGTAAAGAGAAGAAACACTGTGGACAAGGGGAATGGGGTTATTTTGAATCTTCTGGACATATGCAAATTCCCATTCTCACCTTGTAATAGATAATGCTTCAATTAATTCCAAAAAACATCATATAGAACTCCTTTGTTTCAATGCGCAGAAAAAATAACTCCTAAACCGAGTGCAATATATAATCTATAAACATATATCTCCTTCACAATAGCTAGTTTTATCTTTCAAACACTATATTAATAGTTGTTTACTTTTGGCGTTCCTGTGTTTTACAAAATAGTCACGTGTCACCACAGGCTGTGTTTTGTGATGTGAACTGAAGAGTTGTTAGATGGTCCTAAGATGTTCCCTAGGATTTTAGGACCTAGACCTATTTCCTCTTAAGTTCACTGGTGCTTTCTGGAACATTTATTTTTTATTACAATGGAACGGCAGGCAGAGCTCTACAGTTCAAAAACATACCACTTCTGCAAGCCACAGCCGGGAAATCACCTTGCTGCTCCCTAGATCACCTTCCTACTCATTGGAGTGGGGTGGTGATGCTGAGTTCTCATTCAGTGGGCAGGCTGAAGGATGGAGAGATGAAGGTGAAAGCTGCTGCTCGCTGAACCGGGTAAAGTGTGGTGTGATGTTCTGCGTTGCAGATGGCTGTAATACAGTAGAAAGGCATCATGGCACACTCACAAACCAGCATGTAAAACAACTTGTCTCACCACTAAGGACAATAACAGAGGTTTGGATACACGTCTTCTGCAAAGGATGTGTAAGCCGCACTGCCGCGCCAAGGCACCTCTTATAGTGCGGTCCTAACTCTAAACTATGAGAGTCTCCATCTTGGAGCAGATGGGGGCAGAAGATATCAAATTGGGTGCAGGCCTGTCAGGAGGACGCCCCACCTCCTTAAAGGTACAGAGACACACAAGGGATCCCGCACATCCCATTGGCAAACATGTTGTTTTACATGCTGGTTTGTGAGTGTGCCATGATGCCTTTCTACTGTACCACTGTTCAAAGCCCATTTCGTGTGCACCTTCCTGTATAACTGGTAACAAATTGTTGAGTGCGTTTGTCGTTTGTTTTGCTTTGCAGATGGCTGTGAATCGCAAAATTGGCAAAACAGGATTTTAGGGATATACCGATACTAGTTCCAGTGTACTCGTACTCTCCCCAATGCTCCCGAAACTGGAACTGCTCCCGATACCGGAACTTCTGGTATCGGGAAGCCTGGCGGCGAGTCATTATACGCCGCCCGGCTTTCTGATTGGCCGGGAAACTGGCCTCATGCTCCCTCATCACTTGGTGATGATGGAGCCGGCTTCCCGGCCAATCAGGAAGCCGGAGGGTGGGTAATGACTCGCCGCCCAGCTTTCTGATTGGCCCGGAAACTGGCCTCATGCTCCCTCATAACTTGGTGATGATGGAGCCGGCTTCCCGGCCAATCAGGAAGCCGGAGGGTGGGTAATGACTCGCCGCCCAGCTTCCTGATTGGCCAGCTTCCCTGCTAATCGGGAATCCGGGTGGCGATTCATTACACGCCGCCGGGCTTTCTTAATGGCACTTTCAATATTGGTATTTGGTATCGGCGAGTACAGAAAAAAAATATCGGTACTATATACCGAAAAACTGCCATCGGTACATCCCGACAGGATTGTCATCCTTTGAGAAGTCAAACAGAAAACCTATAAACATGTTACAACTTTGTATTTTAGCTGCTTGCCTGATGTTCAGCTTTAGTGTGGATTCACACTTTTATATTGTGGTAACAAGATTTGAACCATCTGTGTTGTGCTGGAAAAAAGTTTAAAGGTCTGTTCCCGTGTGCTGGCCGCCCATTCAAATATAATGCATGTTAAATTGTGTGGGAATGCACTGCAAAGATGTATATCCAGCCCTACAGTCAAATGTCAGGACAGGATAAACAGAAGTACTCTTAAATGTTGTTTTTTTTGGAGATCTAGTGAACCTGTGCCCAGACTATGCACATTAAAGTATTTACATATTCTGAACAAGCATTAAAGCACAGCTCCAGGAATGTTTTATTTATTTTCAAACTTCTATTAGTCCAGCTTGGCTCAGTGTATGTATCCACATCTGCTATCCAGAGGGCCACTCTGGATGCTGATAATCACTTTAGTAGTCTGCATTATATACAGTGGTCATTAAGGATTTATATAGCGCCATCAGCGCTTAACAATATAAGGAAGACATTAGTTCCAATACAATTCAAAACAAGGTGGTTAGGAGGGCGCTGCCTGTGAGAGCTTACAATCTAAAAACAGGGATCGGTGGGATCCTTGGGGTGCAGTTCAATAAAGAGATGCTTGTGTTAAGGAACACTTTGTGTTTGATGACTATTTGTTATTTAAATGACAGCCCACACGTTGGTCCAGGCAATAATATTCACAGTCTGAGGAATGACCATAAGTTTCAATAGAGACTAAAACTAGCACAGCATGTCTAGATAACAATTCCATGAGAAGGCATCAAACCGTACAAAAGCAAGTAGTAACATCCCATCTGTTTGTTGGTTTGCAGCAAGTTTATTTTAAGCACTCTGCATCATAAGAAAACTGGTAATCTGTTTTTCATTTACTGTTTTCCACTCTTCCACAGACGAGATAATTATTCAGTTTTTGCTTCAGGAAATACAAAGCTCCCAAACACATCACATCATTCTATCATTTTGTAAGAAAAATGAATACTGTGTACTTGGCAAGAGGCAGACTAACATAAGCACTTGGTAACATCTACTTTGTCTCGTCAGTGCTTTTTAGGTGGTGAAAAGAGTGTCATAGTCTTCTCTTTCCACCACCTCCTCTCTTTGGGTGCGCTGTCATACCCACCGCACTCCTCTCGGGTACATACTGCTCCCTGTCATCCCCACCGCACTCCTCTCAGGGACATACTGCTCCCTGTCATCCCCACCGCACTCCTCTCAGGGACATACTGCTCCCTGTCATCCCCACCGCACTCCTCTCAGGGACATACTGCTCCCTGTCATCCCCACCGCACTCCTCTCAGGGACATACTGCTCCCTGTCATCCCCACCGCACTCCTCTCAGGGACATACTGCTCCCTGTCATCCCCACCGCACTCCTCTCAGGGACATACTGCTCCCTGTCATCCCCACCGCACTCCTCTCAGGGACATACTGCTCCCTGTCATCCCCACCGCACTCCTCTCAGGGACATACTGCTCCCTGTCATCCCCACCGCACTCCTCTCAGGGACATACTGCTCCCTGTCATCCCCACCGCACTCCTCTCAGGGACATACTGCTCCCTGTCATCCCCACCGCACTCCTCTCAGGGACATACTGCTCCCTGTCATCCCCACCGCACTCCTCTCAGGGACATACTGCTCCCTGTCATCCCCACCGCACTCCTCTCAGGGACATACTGCTCCCTGTCATCCCCACCGCACTCCTCTCAGGGACATACTGCTCCCTGTCATCCCCACCGCACTCCTCTCAGGGACATACTGCTCCCTGTCATCCCCACCGCACTCCTCTCAGGGACATACTGCTCCCTGTCATCCCCACCGCACTCCTCTCAGGGACATACTGCTCCCTGTCATCCCCACCGCACTCCTCTCAGGGACATACTGCTCCCTGTCATCCCCACCGCACTCCTCTCAGGGACATACTGCTCCCTGTCATCCCCACCGCACTCCTCTCAGGGACATACTGCTCCCTGTCATCCCCACCGCACTCCTCTCAGGGACATACTGCTCCCTGTCATCCCCACCGCACTCCTCTCAGGGACATACTGCTCCCTGTCATCCCCACCGCACTCCTCTCAGGGACATACTGCTCCCTGTCATCCCCACCGCACTCCTCTCAGGGACATACTGCTCCCTGTCATCCCCACCGCACTCCTCTCAGGGACATACTGCTCCCTGTCATCCCCACCGCACTCCTCTCAGGGACATACTGCTCCCTGTCATCCCCACCGCACTCCTCTCAGGGACATACTGCTCCCTGTCATCCCCACCGCACTCCTCTCAGGGACATACTGCTCCCTGTCATCCCCACCGCACTCCTCTCAGGGACATACTGCTCCCTGTCATCCCCACCGCACTCCTCTCAGGGACATACTGCTCCCTGTCATCCCCACCGCACTCCTCTCAGGGACATACTGCTCCCTGTCATCCCCACCGCACTCCTCTCAGGGACATACTGCTCCCTGTCATCCCCACCGCACTCCTCTCAGGGACATACTGCTCCCTGTCATCCCCACCGCACTCCTCTCAGGGACATACTGCTCCCTGTCATCCCCACCGCACTCCTCTCAGGGACATACTGCTCCCTGTCATCCCCACCGCACTCCTCTCAGGGACATACTGCTCCCTGTCATCCCCACCGCACTCCTCTCAGGGACATACTGCTCCCTGTCATCCCCACCGCACTCCTCTCAGGGACATACTGCTCCCTGTCATCCCCACCGCACTCCTCTCAGGGACATACTGCTCCCTGTCATCCCCACCGCACTCCTCTCAGGTACATACTGCTCCCTGTCATACCCACCGCACTCCTCTCTCACAAATACTGTCTGCCATCATACCCCCCACACTCTCCTGCTCGTACTGCTCTCCGTCATACCTTTTGCAATTCTCTCCTATACATACTGCTTCCGTCAAATCCTTTGCACTTCTTCTGCACATACGCTCCACTGTTATACCTTCCACACTCTTATCCTGCATAAACTTCCCACCATCATACCCTTTGCACTTCTCTCCTGCACATACTGGGCTCGGCCATACCCTTTGCACTTTTCTCCGACACATACTCCTATCTTGCATAAACTTCCCACCGTCATAGCATAGCCTTTACACTTCTCTCCTGCACATGCTGCCTTCTGTCATACCCTTTGCACTCATCTCCTGCACATACTGCCTTCTATCATACCTTTTGCATTTTTCTTATGAACGCACTGTCTGCCATCACACCTTCAGCACCTCTCTCCTGCACAAACTGTCTGCCATCACACCCTCAGCACCTCTCTCCTGCACAAACTGTCTGCCATCACACCCTCAGCACTTCTCTCCTGCACAAACTCTCTGTTATCACACCATCAGCACCTCTCTCCTGCACAAACTCTCTGCCATCACACCCTCAGCACCTCTCCCCTGCACAAACTGTCTGCCATCACACCCTCAGCACCTCTCTCCTGCACAAACTGCCTGCCATCACACCGTCATCACCTCTCTCCTGTACAAACTGTCTGCCATCACACCCTCAGCACCTCTCTCCTGCACAAACTCTCTGCTATCACACCCTCAGCACTTCTCTCCCGCACAAACAGCACACTGTTATACTCTCTGCACTCCTTTCCTTCACATATTGCCCGCTAAGACACTTATCCCCAGCATCACCCATTATGGAACTGGCACACATGTGCTAGCTTTTGGCAGCTTCCTACCTAGGTATTTTTTATGGATACTTACATACTATGGTGGTTACTGTGGTTATGATAACGCTTACAGCATTGCAACACTTAAAGGAGTTTTCTATTGAGAGAAATATATTGCCTGCCAATGCTGATATGATAGTTTTTTTTTTAATAATCTTCAAATGTACCAGAGCTGTTTATTCTTGTAAGCTCTGTGTTTAACTAAAGTCCATATAACTGGACATAGAAAGGAAAACCAAACAGATCACACCTAATAGGTAAACACCTTTTATCACATAAAATGATAAAACTGCAGTTGAAAAGTACTGTCTTGACCAAGGAGTATAACCAGGAATTATCCTTTTCCTAGGGAAACTGGTTCACATGTGCAGTTTGCTGGAAACACACTCACTAGGTAGCTGGGAACAGAAGATATAAAGGCAGAAATGGAAACACTGGTGAGAACACTGGATCAAACCATGGAAATTGGCACTGCAACTTCTCCCAAGATGTCAACTGTAAAGGGGAACAAGATTGTACATTAAAATAGAGAGTACCTCCACTTACATGTTTCGGGTCTGTGCTCCTTCATCAGAGTCTGCTTAGACAAGACCTTCCTTTGCTTCTGATTGCTAAATGCAACAACATGGGAGCATGGGAAGGCAAATATATGCTGCTAGTGGCTAAAATTACAGTGAACATGTTGATTTGCCCTGCATATGAAAAGCATGGTTTCACTTTATGTTGGACATATTCTCCACCTAATATTGATAGACAATCATTACTATATCTTTAAATGTGTAATTCTGTGTGGATAACTAATGCCTTAGTTAGTCACAGATACTCATTTAACAGCACACAACAATAGTCAGTGGACTATCCAACTTTGAATATGCTTACTCATTTGTTAGAACAGTGTGGTCAGAACGGATGACTTGCTGTTTGTAATGCTATAAAACAAGCCAGAATAGTTCTGACTAGGCTCCCAGATCCATAGATGATGCCCGGGAACATTCATCTCAGTGGTCTGCAGAGTGTGACATGCCTGCAGGTCAAGGGGTTTGACCAAGTGGACTGGATTAAAACTGACATTTCCTCTTCTGTGATTTAGATCAGTAAATGTAACTTAATTCTATTACACTTTCCATTATTAAGAACTAGGCTAGATGGACAGATTTTTATATTGCACAAATATAGGACTCAGTTGTCAGTCAATGAACATTAATGCATAGACTTCCATTTTGGAAGTGGTAATTGGAAACATGCAATATCAACATAAAAATAAAATCCCTAATGTGATCAATGCTGTGTATGTACCACTCAATACTATTCAGAAACATTATTCTGCATTCTTCTAGAATATAAATGGGAAGGCAGCCGATGCTATTGTTCATTCACTAGCAATTACAGAAAATTGCTATCCATCCTTTTCCTGGTGCAATCTAATGTCAGCATAGGGCTGGTCAGTTGACCTGGGCCCCTACAGGACCCTCCTACCTAGTGAATAAAGACTGAAGGAACCATACCCACCTTATTCCTACAAAGCAACAGGTCACAGGGTGAAAGGGTGGAAACAAAGAATTTAAATGAATCAAAATAACTGAGGAGATAATAGCTGAACCAAGGACTTTGCAGAGGCTGCCACATTTAGTTGATAATGCTAAACTAAAGTGTATGAGGGGTTCCAGCTCGCTACTGGGCACATTATTCCAGCAGAGGTTTTAGCATATGGCACCCATGATGTGGCTGCTAGACATGTGCGATTTGTTTAGTTCTGAAACGTGGACGAATTTTTGGAAATTCGGATGTATCCGAATTCCGAATTACAGATATAACGAATGCAAACGAATCAGAATTTCCATTTCCGAAATGAGGATATGAATAGTCCTTTTCTGGTATGCTGTGTGAACAACAACATATAACAAACATATAGTGGAGTTTTCTCAAATTTGACTGCAAAAGTGGAACTACACTTACATTCCTTCCCAGTTATGGTGACATCTAGAGGACAAATTGGGAAACTACAACAGAACTCTTGTGCCTCTACCCTACATTGCTATGGCTGACACATCCTTTCCCTTGATCTTGAATCTTGATCTTGAGGAGCAAGGCAGTAGAAGCGAACACATAAACATAGTGGAAGTTCCATGAGCTAATCAGAGCATCCTGTGCTACAGTCTCCTGGCATCTGTACCAGATCATAAACCAAGGTAGACAAGCATTCTCTGGAATTGCCATGTGATCTATGTCGGGCACATCTCAGTGTTTGATGTTCTTCTTCAGATGTTTCTTGTTGAGTGACCGCTTGTTTGGTGTGGATTGATAAAACATCTGCTCAACCTGTCTGCTACTGTATAGTTTGCCCCCGGTATGTAGGCAGCTGACAAGGCCCTCACATGCACCTCTGTGCCCTGTGAAAGATCTCCACTGTCACCTGCTGTAGTAATTGTAGGCTCCTTGTTCCCCCTTGTTTTGCAATGTGGGAAATCACTGTTTTGTTGTTCATTAGGACTTTAACCTGATGCCCCTGAAGGAGAAGACAGATGCCTTCAATGCTTTAAAAGCATTTTAAATGTGTCTAAATCTCACATAACATGGTTGTGGAAAACCAGAAGATCCCCGATGTTTAGGGAATGGTTGTCGGTGATTTAGGAGATTATGGAAAATGAGTAATAGTAGACATGTGCGATTCGTTTCGTTCCGAATCGAAATTCGGACGAATTTTCGGAAATTCGGACATTCAGATGTATCCGAATTCCGAATTACAGATATAACGAATGCAAACGAATCCGAATTTCCGTTTCCGAAATTCGTTAGCGGTAGTTCGTTCGAATGTTCGTTTCCGTTTCGTTCGCTCGTTCGTTGGAGCAAAGTGACATTAGAGAAGGAGAAAAACATTTTTCCCCCCTCAAATGTCACTTTGCTGCGAACGAAACGAATAAGAAACGAAAACGAAACGAACGTTCGAACGAACTACCGCTAACAAATTTCGTCCGAATCCGAATTCCCAATCCGAATTGACTTTCACACCCGAATCCCGAAAAACTAAATAACACAAATCCGAATCAAAACTAAACTAAACTAAACAAATTTTTTGGCAGTGCACATGTCTAATAGGCATATCAACTCCAAGGTCAATATGATATACCAGTGAAGGAAGGGGCTGTATAATATTACTGCACTGACCACTAATAAAGGTGAGGGCTTTACTATTACTGCCACTGACCAGCAATGGGCATACCTGAGGTAAACCAGTGGGACTGGGAAAGGGGGTTAGTACACGGAGGCACTCCAATTTGGTGGAAAGCAAGGTGTATCAGCAAAAGTATATGAGAAAAATAGCAGGGCGTTTGTGCAACATCTATGCCCTGTACTATTTTGGAATACATAAATCCTTGTTTGCAAATCTATTCACAGGAAAGTTTGGATGTTTATAGAGACATTGAGATGTTTATCTAATAAAGAAATTCAGTTGACACAATTACCAAAAGTTCAAAAAATACAAGGAGTGGCTGTAACCGTTGGATTCCAAAGACACCTGTATATTGCATGCAACGTGAAACATTGCTCTCACTGAGAAAAATTGTACAAGTAGTAACATTTATTGGATACAGTTACTGAGAATTAATTCACAGCTGGAGTCATAGTAACATTATTGGACATCAGCATACATATGGAGCTTTGGTTAGGGTAGAAGGGTTTGGATTTTAGAGTTTTTAAATGTTCGTTATATTATTCATATATTTATGTGTTTTACATAGTTACAGTACATATTAATTGAGGTTGAATAAAGACACAGGTCTGTATGTGTAGTGTGTCTGTGTGTGTGTAGTGTGTGCATGTGTGTAAATGAGTCCCTGAGTGGTCTTAGCTTTTAAGAGTACCTGTACCCCTGTATGTTATGATCTCTTATGAAGGTATCTAATTGATTTTTGAATGAATCAATATTCACTGCAGATACCACTGTTTCCAAAATGTAACCGCTCTAAATAAAAAAAAAAGCCCCTATGCCCTTTGTGGATAAATCTTTTCTCCACCAATTTTAGGTGGTGGCCTCTAGTCTAGTTTGTGAATATAGGTTACAATAAAATAATGTATTAGTTAATTTTGGTACAGAGTGTCCTATATTGGGATCTCTGTATGGGGAAAATAACATTATATGTGAGGTTAAATAGTAAGAGACCTATATAGGTTGATAAATTATATAAAGTTTTTGGAAAGCTGTCCCCTCTCCCCTTTGGAAATTATTATGAAGGACAAAATGCCCCTGCATTGCTTGTGTTTCTGAAATAAAAAAATACTCCTTTGGTGTCAGTGGGAGGAAAAAAATGCTGCTGTGCCAGTGGTACCAGTGGGGTGAATGAGGGGGTAGGGGGCCTCTGTGGGGTGTATTGAGCTAAGGAGCCCTGTGTGGCTCTATGGGAGTGAGGGGGGCTAAAATGCTCTGTGGGGCTTTGAGGGGAAGAGGAGAGCTCTGGGGTAAGTTGCTCCCCCCCATTCTCCGTGTCTTCACAGTTCACACCCTCTTCTCAGTACGGTGCTCACCCAGGACTGAAGGCAGCTTCTCCTTCTACCCATCTCTGGCCATGTGATATGTCACATAACAAGGAGAGACAGGAAAAAGGACGGTTTGCCCTCACTCCCCAGCAGGCACCTGTACTGAAGAGGTCTGAGGCATGGTCAGTTGCCCTGCCGCTGCGAGTGCTAAGTTAGTAAACCTCCGCTGAACACTGTGCTGCAAGTCAGCACTCAGCACTGCTAACTTTACACTCGCAGCGGAAGTGAATGTGGGTGCAGAGCTCTGAGTGTGACGGAGAAGGTAGGGACAGAGCACCAGTGGCCATTTTAACTGTGGGCACACCTGGCAGCTCAGGAAAAATCAATTTAGTGTGGGAACCTACATTTTAATAAACAACAAAGGGGAACAGAGCGCCACCTCCATGTGTAAAATCGTTTATTAAGATACATATACATATAACAAGGGATATATGTACTCACAAGCAAAGGTTTCATCACGCTTTAACAACAAACAAGAGGCCACACTGTCTGTTAACCCAACATGGTATTGCCCCGACTATGTACCATGGTTGCCTCCCGTCACATCACTGTCCACTGGCCGCAGTCAGTCAAGATTTATCTGAATCTGAAGGGGGCTTGCCCCTGAAAGGCGTAGATCTTGGCTGACTGTGGACGGTGATGTGACCGGAGGCAACCGTTTTACATAGTCGGGGTGATACCATGTTGGGTTAACAGACGGTGTGGCCTCTTGTTAGTTAAAGCCTGATGAAAACGTTTGCATGTGAGTACATTTATCCCTTGTTTTATTTATCTTAATAAACAATTTTACACACAGAGGTGGCGCTCTGTTCCCTTTTGTTTTCTATGTTCCTGGTGGAAGGCCCAGAGCCTTGGATGAGCAGCCCCTCAAGTCTGTGTGAAAAACTGTGATAAACTGTTGAAAACTTTGAGGATGCAACAGCAAGAGGATCTTTCAGCTGGCAGCCATTAGCGCCAAGAGTTAAAGAAAGCCTACAATTTAATGATTTGGTGAATGAACACACGAAACCTTGGAAAATGGTATTTATCAGTCAAAAATATTATCCTCCACCATTTTGCTTAGCACTGTGCAGCCGAAGCGTTCCGTGAAGCTGCTGCAGTGAACTGAAGTGCTGCAGAACAGCTACTCAGTGCTTGGCTAAGGAACAGCACGCACCTCTGTTCTCTGAGGGCCCCCTTTTCTCTCTCTGCTCTCTCCTCCCCACAGTATGCTGCCATTGGGGGGAGTAGAGAGTAGATTCCTCACTCCAGCAGCTATTGTGGTCCCTGCTCAGCCTGACAGGAATGACACTGCACTGACTCCTGTTAATCACTAAACAGTCAAAGAATAGAGTCCCTCCTCAGTTTACCACTAGACCCTATTTTGTGTAAAACGTAGAAAAGCTTTGAGGTAAAAGTTTCACTCTACAAGCCACTTACCATGAAGCCACGCACACTTTATTGACCATGGTGCTGATTTTCTTCACAATCCTTTCAAAGCGTCCCTCCTAATTATTTTCAAATGCTGACAACTCAGGTTTTCATTGAAATTACATACACAGTGGCTCAAATATGCAACTCACTGCTTTGAAAATGTGTATTTACATTTTTTTGCACATAAATTACTGGCATACATTTATTCATAGCTCTCAGACATCCCTCACTTGTAACTAAATCCCGCGGTCAATCTTCTTCCTCCTCAGTTGTCTGATGTAGTACTCGAGTATAAGCCGAGGGGGGCACTTTTCAGCACAAAAAATGGGCTGAAAAACTCGGGTTATACTCGAGTATATACGGTAGACTGTATAGACCTCTTTAAAAAAATGTACTATGTAAAGTGTTCTACTACACTAAGGCCAGATTTATACCTTTGTGTTGCGGTAACACACACGTTACCGCAAGTCACTAGTACACAATACAAGTACTAGTGCATTGCAGCGTTAAATATTTTGAATGCTACTCCCCACACACTAAAGTAATGCACGGTAAGGCAATGCCATGCACTGTGTTCCCAATGTAGGGTCAAGTACTGGGGTGTTGCTGCCTTAGGGTAACAACACATGAATGTACTGCACTGGTTTGAAGCCAGCCTAAGACTGGAGTTACACTTATGTGTTTGCTTTGCTGTGCATTTAATATGCATTCATGATTAGAGATGAGTCTGGGCACAGGGTTGCCACCTGTCCAGGATTCACCCGGACAGTCCGGGTTTTGAATGCTGTGTCCGTGTTTCATGGCAGCAGAAACCTGGACACAAGATGACAGACAGACAGGGGCAACCAAAATTAAGATAAGGCTACTGCCCCCCCACAGAAAATAGTCTTGACTGTGATATTTACATATTGATGGGTGGTGCTATCTACATATGAATAAGCCACGATTAATTCTTCCAAAAAAATGTCCGCGCATCGCTGATGTTTTCGGGTTTCGCTTGAAGAAAAGGTTCACCTAAGCCCACTCATAACGCTGACTGCCATCTCCTCCTCCAGACACAATCTGTGGCAGCAATTGTGGTGGGGGCATTCCCGTCCCTTTGTGATGTGTAGCTGTGTAGCTGCAGGGTGGGGAATGCACCTCCTCGCAACTGATTGGTGGTTGCAGCGGAGGAATTCCCTGCCCCTCTGCGATGTATAGTTGCAGGACAGAAAAATGTGCCTCTCTGCAACTGATGGGGTAGTGGTCACAATTTGGAGCGGGCTTGGGTGAACTCAAGTGTACTGGAATTGCACCAACCCAGCCTCATCACTAGTCATGATGTACTGACCTGTTACCATTCCTATCCAAAGCACTTATAATGCATATCAATGGATTAAAAAAATGGCCTTGAACTTTTTTTTGGGCCAATCCATGTCCACGAGCTGCATATATGTGAACAAGCACCATCAAAAACAGGGCTGCCTTAGGTCCACCTTCAAAACTGTGCAGCTTATTAATACACGTACGTTACAGCGCATTGCGCATTGACGTGTTAGTAGCCCATTCATTTTGAATTGGCGCACAATAAACTGCACCTGACCTTTTTCTAGTAACTCACAACACGGTGATGCATGGTAGTCACACTATTGCATTGCGGTAATATGATCTTTACTACAATGCATGGTAACACACCCTAAATGCATTGGCATGTTGCGGTGCTATTCATTTTGAATGACTCCCTTGTAGTACATGGTAACCCAGATATGTTTTTTTGTCTGTTCTGGTGTGCCTGAATGTTTGGAGGTGTGGAAAGAAAACGCTTGACCCATGTGGTTATTCTCTTGGTTTTTCTCATCCATGATCCAATAGTAGATAAGTGATGTAAATATGTGTTATCTGGCTGACGGTTAGGCAGCTTCTGCAATCCAACCTTGGTTTGACAGTATGCATCAGCCGTCACTAAATGGCGGACCACTGTGTGGACACGCACCAAGTGGTGCTTCTGTCTGAACTGTGATCGATGACCTGCACTGGGTTATGGTTAGCTGACAGTGGATACACCAGCTTCCGAGGCCGGTGTTTGCACTGCCAGCCATAACCCAGTGCAGGCCCTCCCTCCGCTTCAGTCATTGGTTGCTAGGACTGCAGGCTTCCTAGTAACCAATGACATCAGGCAGGGTGACCACGGCATACTGAGTTAGGATGGAGAGCAGGAGCAGACTGGAGGGAGGGAGGGAGGGGATCAGCACACGTCCACTGGTTGGGGGCTTGTTAGCCCTCTATGTGATAACAACAAATTTAAGTCCCATATTTAAAAAAAAACTAATTTTTTAAAATAAAGTCCCCCACGTACACACACATACAAATGCAAACATGCGTCGCAGGGCCATTAGTGTCACCAATGGGCAATTTGGGTTATTGTTATTTGTTTGTGATTTCATGGCCACACGCAATTATAGGGCTTGACATGTCTGGTGTCTATTTACCCAACACAACCCCATCTTTTATATTTTACCAAAAAATTGGGCAATGATAAATGTTTATAATATAATGTAGGGAAAACATCTTTAAAAATAAATGTTTTTGGTGATTAAATCCCACCAAAAGAAAGCTTTATCTGTCCCCAAAAATGGTATAAAATAATTTCAGTACAGCGTTGCATGATGGAATAAATGTCAGTCAAAGTGCCGCAGCGCTAAGTACTGAAAAGTGATCTAGACAGGAAGGGGGTTTAACACCCCGGTCTTCAAATAGTCCAGATGCAACTTTATGCTATTAGGGTCAGGGGACATTCAAGTAAAGTAGCCAACGCGTTTCGGGGGTCCAGGGATTAATGAGAGAAATAAATGTACTGTATGTGGACTACAATTCCTGCAGCTTGAACGCTGTATTGAGTTGTGATGGAAGGCTTGTCAGAAGCTGGTTTGCTGCCAAACTATCAAGCTGCAGGGATTGTAGTCCACATGATTTCTCTCTTTAGACCCTAATAAAAGGGGGTGTTTTGGACCCCCAAAATGCACTGGCTACTCTACTTGTATGTCCACTAACCCTAATGGAAAAGTTGTATCTGAACTATTTAAATGGGTATGGCTCTTCCTTTCCTACATCTACTGCTTTTAAATGAGTGGTTTGCCTTAACGCAACATATGTTAACGTGCAACATGACATGTGTTGACGTGCATCAACGTAACACACTAGAGTGAACAGATTTGAAGGGGCCCTCAGTGTATTGGGATGCCATTCAAAATGAAATAACAAATGACATTAGCATGTGCATGATGTGGTGTGCCATAACACGCTCATTATTGCAAAGCAAACTGGCGTTAATGAGAAATGTCAGTCTTTTTTCCCTCCCATATCTTTGGTGCTCTTTTTATGTTATAATCAGGGCTGTCCTTAGGTAAATCGCCACCTGATGTGATGTCGTTCCGGTGGAGGGTTGGAGTTGGATGCTGTCAGGGAATGGTCAGTGGTGGAGGGGTGGGAGGTGTGCCTGGCTAATGGTTGTTTGAAAAGAAAGGGGATGGTGGTGGGCGCCAGTCCACCCTGTCAGTGGCTCTGTCCGAAGTCCCGCACAACTCACTGACGTCACTGGTTGCCAGGAGCTAGGCAAGATGCAAGCCAGAGCATCCCTGCTCAGCTCTTCGCAACTGATGTCAGTGAGTTGGGCGGCACTGCACAGAGCGTCACAGGTTGCTAAGAGCTCTGTGGCCTCCCCCCTGCTGCCCCCCACCACCAACCGGCCGCTCCCCAATGAGATGCCGCCTGAGGCAACTGTCTCATTATAGAGAAAGCCCTTGCTGTATTAATATATTTACAAGCCCAGCAGATCCAAAGTTGTCCTCTTCTCTCACACTGCTCTCCTACTACAGGTCCCATGGCCGTCCTCTTCCTTTGCAATGTCATGAGTCAGTTGTCTCTTCCTGGTTCTTGCAGCCGGCCCCCAGTGATGCAGCAGCAAATCTCACACATGTGCAGATGGAGATTTGGTTCCATATCTGTCTACATGTAATTTTTTAAATGGTGGAAAGTGATGTCTCCTGGGATACCGATGTGACATATCCTGGGAGATATTGCTGTCCACCATTAATAGAACATGTACACAGACAAGGCGCCAAATCTCTGTCTGCACATGTGTGTGATCTGGTGCCGCCTCTGTTTACATGAATGGTGGAAAGTAATGTCTCCTGGGACACCGATGTGACATATCCTGGGAGATATTAGTGTCCACCATTAATAGAACATGTACACAGACAAGGCGCCAGATCTCTGTCTGCACATGTGTGTGATCTGGTGCCGCCTCTGTTTACATTAATGGTGAAAAGTGATGTCAGTATTCCAGGAGGCAGCAGGAGGAAGGTGAAACATTATTCGTGCCGAGGCGGGAGGGCAGCAGAAAAAAAATTGTAAATAAATAGTTAAATAAAGGTCATCTTTTTTAAAAAGTGGAGGGGAGAGGATTAGAATGCTGCAAAGCTTTGTTTTGAGTGAAGGTGAGCTTTAAACTGAACCACCTGGCACTGCACAATGGTGCCGATACATTTCATATGCATTAGTCTCTGCTCACACTTGTGCGTCTTCATGTTGATGTGTTTTAGCGCCTTTTTGTTGCACGTTTTTCATGCGTTTTAATGCTTTTCCCTGTGTTTTTGTGTTGGGCAATGAAAGTAAAAAAAGTTTGCTAGGGGATGGGGGCATGGTACAAGTATTATTTGTGCGCTCCTCAGTCTGTGGAGCTTTGCACTATGTAACACCAAAAGAAGCAGCGGTACCCTTTTCAGTCCCCGTTCACTCCTTCATGCCCCGTGAACATGTGTGGCTTTTATATGCGTTTTCCCCCACGTTTGCGTTGCTCATTGATTTCAATGGGTGCCTCACGTGTGACAAATGCAGGAAGGCAGCTGCTGTAGCAGATTCTGCTACATGGGGTACCGCATTTTTTACCGCGTGTTTGCGCACGTTTAACGCATGTCAATGCGCAGGAAAAAGCGTGCATTTTCCCAGCTGTGTTTGAGTGGTATTAACAAGTAATGGCACTACAAGCGCATTGCACGTTTTTATGTAGTCCTTGAATGCACGCCAATGTGTACGTTTTGCACACATTTACTCCGGCCAGGTTGACACTATGGTGATCCGTGACCGCGCAGCAATTGTGCGCGAAACCGTTTGGGATCTCTCACCAAAGGGGATCACGCTGGCGGTACCATTATTTTCTAATGGCACCCCAGTCGCCCAGGGTGGATCGCTCTGCGATTCCTCCCGTGCAATAGAACACAATCCCGCCCCGATACCGCACGCGGCTAAAAAAGCATGTACCTTTTATCTGCGATTTCCGCGCGGATGTAACTCCAATGATATTAATGGGGCCCCGCGGCAACCATTGTGTGCAACTCCACACGATCGCGCGGTCTCGGGATGCGCGTCCTGGGTCGCCCAGGTCTGCACCAGCCCTGAACTTAATGTTCAGGGCTGGAATCGCAGAGTTAATACAGAAAATAATGGGTTTCCTTTTGTCTCGCGTCCAACGAAGCAATTTAAATTGCGCTGATGTGAACAGGGGATTACGGTGCACTGTCAGTCCATTCAAATGAAAGTTGCATTATGTACAGTGAACTTGTGAGCACTAGAAAAGGTGTGTTACACGTCACAGGACGATCTATATACATCATCCTATATGTGTGTCTCGTCTATGGAATGGTTAAGTCTCTGTGATGTTTGATGTGATCTCCGGCGCCCTCTGGCGGAGAAGAGCCGCATGCACCCCCCCCCATACCAGCCGTTGCAGCTGCCGGCAGGAGATGCTCTAGTTCCAGCCGATGGGAGGCAGAGTCAGCCAAGCAATCCTCCGAAGAAGTGAAGGCAACAATCACAGCTTCCCCTCCAGCCATCACTGATACCCACAATGCATAGAGACCGACACCAAAATAGAAATCTGCTCAGGTAACATGGCGATCCTCGCCGCCTTGGACTAAACACATCGCCCGCTGGCCGGATCGCACCTGGACGGATAAGGAGCGCTGCGGACTGTCCACCTGCGGGGCGGGATCAGACCCGGGGCCGGTGTATGTCCAGGGACACGGGGCAGCACAAGCATGGCAGCATCGGAGCTCTACACAAAGGTAAGGGTGCTGCAACCCATAGGATGCCAGGGCTGGGGTATCTCTATCAGTGAAAGCCTTCCTATGGTGCCTAGTGCTCAGCATCCAGGACTGTCATCATCTGCCCAGGCCATAGATCACTGTAGCACCCATATGATGCTATAACTGGGACACCTCTATGAATGAAAGCCTTGCTTCCCTATTGTACTGAGCATCCAGGACTGTCATAATCTGCCAAGGCCATAGATCACTGTAACACTCATATGATGCTATAATTGGGACACCTCTATGAATGAAAGCCTTGCCTCACTCAGGCCACAGATCATTGTATCACGCCATTGATGCTAGGGCTGGGATACCACTAAGAATGGTACTGAGCATCCAGGACTTTCATCCTCTGTCCAGGCCATAGATCATTGTAGCCTCCCATATGATGCCAGGGCTGGGATACCTTTATAAATCAAAGCCTTGCCTTCCTATTGTGCTGATCATCCAGTGAAGTCATCCTCTGCCCAAGCCACAGATTATAGTAGCCCCCCATATGATGCCTGGGCTGCAAATCACTATGAATGTAAGCCTTGTCTTGCTATTGTGATATATGTGCTGTGCAACCAGGACTGTCATTCCCTGCCCATACAACAGATTATGGTAGCCCCCCATACGATGCCAGGGCTAGAACATCACAATGAATGAAAGCCTTGCCTTCCTATTGTACTGATCATCTAGGACTGTCGTCTGCCCAGGCCGCACACTGCCTCCACCACCCACATCCCTGTATCCAGCACGGCCTCCCATCTCTCTGGATTTAGCTGCTAAACATCTGCTGCTCTTCAGATTTGCTCTGCTCGCCGTAGTGCTTTGTTCTTATTGCTCCGGTCACTGTTTTTGTCTACCATTAAAAACCGGGATGGGTTATTATGAACTGTGGTTAGAGACGGGGTAGAGTTTTTATGTGCTGGATAATTTGACATTGGATAGCCAGTTTCCATTTTGTCCTTGACAGTTGCTTATGTTCAGCAAATCCTTTACTTTGCCCTTTGGATTGGACTAGGATGCAGATGCATGCTCTGCAATTATCCGGAGGGGAAAGGCGGATTATATTTGTCTTTTATATAGGACTGAGATAGAGAACTATTTCTTGTGCTTGCAGACTGATTGTATAAGTGGCGTGTGTTATCAGGGGCCGAAAATGCATTTCTATGGTGAAGAGGCCTGGCAAAACTCAACGATGGCAATGGAAGAAGTTGAAATGTTACTGCACACACCACACTGGCTGACAGTGATGGGGAATGATTCAGACATATGTGTGGGACTTATAATATGTTATACTTCTGGTGACTGACCTGTGGCCCTTTTGTGTTTGAAGTGTGGCCCTCAAGCTCCAGTTGTCAGTAGTGGGATCAGTGATTTGTGAAGGGGATTTCAATAGCAAAATCTCTAGCAATTTGATGTAACATGTCCCTAGTATCTGGCTCTCTCCTACAGCATGACATTAGTCTCCAACCACTTCTGTAGAGCAGCGATGAGCCTGGGCTTGGTGTGAACACAGTTTGCCTGAGTACACCCAAGCCCACTCAAAACTGTGACCCGCCAGCCCATTCAGTTTCAGCAAGAGCATTACCCACCGCAAATGCCACCACTGATTGGGTTGGCGGACACAGTTTCATGTGGGCTTGGTCAAACTGATTTTGCAGCAAGTCCAGGCTCATCACTCCTGCAGAACAGTCTCCAACCATCTCCTCTAGTAAAGCCGGGTATACACGGACGAAATTTGCTGCATGGGTGCCACTGTTGTCACTCTTCTGCCTGCCATCCCTCGATCGGAGGAGCCACTTGGAAGATTCTTGGCTGAACGGAGGCAGCAGCCAATCAGCTGCTAGCCCCGTTTGGGTATTCTGACAGCAGCCAGCAGCTTCTGCCTGATTAAAAAGGAAACAGCGGTGGAGATTGCTCGATCAACACTCGTAAGCATTGACGAATTAATCTGTTCTATCTCTTTCATTCACATGTTGAATGAAAAAAATAGAACCGAGTATACCCAACCTTACTCTTCAGTCTATGACAGTGCTCTGTAACATAATATATATAAGGAGTTAACAAGCATTGCTTTATGCACTATGTAGCAGATGCTACAGACGAGGAAGCCATCTTGAGGGGGCAGGCCTATTATTCAGCTAGCCAGTTCCCAGAATCTTTTACATTCATGAATCATTGAGTTTACAGTGTCTACCTCATCAGTGATGACCCTCGCTCCTAGTGAATCAAAGGGCTGCATTGTTATGAGTAGTGGTTCCACCCAGCTGCAGGTGACAGGTACACTTTAATATGAATGCCCTGTTACAGTGACACAAAAAGGGGAGATCTGAACCTCTGATACCCTGTCATTGTATACAAACAAAATGTAGATGTAGTAAAGGAAACGGAGACAGGAGCTTCGGTGTCAGTGTTTTTGTTTATGACATCCCCACCAGAAGATGTGTTTTTATACATTGTACAGTATGTTTATAATCAGAGAATGTATGCAGTGGTGTGCAGTCTATGACAGCTTTTTCTATGTAGTTTGATGAAAAAGCGTTAAATGTAAAGGTCACCATATACCAGGGGTGGGCAGCTCTGGCCCTCCAGCTATTGTGGAACTACAAGTCCCATGAGGCATTATACTACTGACAATTACAGGCATGGCTCGCACAGGCATGTCGGGATTTGTAGTTAAAGCACAGTTGAAGGGCCGGAGTTGCCCACCCCTGCCATACACATTACAATCTCAGTACAATCAACTTTAGATTTATCAATACTATGTAACCTGAGGCCCTACCTAATCTATCCATTCACTCTGTATCCAGTCAGGCAGGCCCTTGCACTACACAGGTTTTGGTAGATGTAAAGGAGAGCGTACCATCAGATTGTAATGTGTGTGGTGTGCTTAGGACTGACCACACATGTACAATTGTCTTTAGATATACCAACAACTAGAGGTGTGTGTGGTCCTGTCTGTGACATGTCGCTGGCTGAAAAGACGGGATGTGCTGTGGGAATGTATTGTATATCTTACACAATGGGACCTGTGTTTTTATGTGTTTGCAGCTTTCACTTCTATGCCGTTTCTGAGTTGTAAATATTGGTGTTATTCAGGAGCATTTCCTTGACATAACCTGACATCTGTATTGGATCGATGCTATTGGTGGTTGCTGTCATGGTTAATGATTCCAGCACCAGGTTGTAGGAGTTCAGGCTCCTATCTTTGATTTTGTTTACATATCTTTTGACCTAAATCAGTGTGGCAGCAAGGCATTTTCCGGTTTTGTGCTCGCCACTTGCACTGCGATGGCCAGTGTGTCACTTTCACTTGCTTCTGTCCTCGTACATGAGCCCCAATGGCTGTCATTGCAGTTATTGTAAACAACACTGCTTTGGCCATAGCAACCAATCAAATCCTTACTTTCACTTCCTCACCTACACAGGAGACGTGACAGCTGGAGTGGTTGCTATGGGCAACACAAATATTTTCCTTTCTAGCTTTCTCCAGGCATTTTTATCTCAAAGCTTATTAAGGTAACCATTAGAATTAGTATGCAATGCTTTTAACCTGGGGTGTGGAAGGACAGTGACCGAGAGATGAGTACATAACTGGGCTGCTTCTCCCTTCACTGTCCACTCATAGGCTGGGGTAGGCCTAGGACAAATAATGCGCCATCAGACTGAAGAGATCTAGTGGCAGAGTAAAAAAACAAATCTAGATTGCATAGACCTAGATCAGCATTTCCCAACCTTTTATCAGCCACAGCACTGTTTGAAAGTATGCACAATCTAAAGGCACCCCAGTCTCAAATGTAAACAAACATAAATATAGAAAATGACGAGTTGTCCCTGAAAAATCCATACCGGAACATTATCTGAGATAGGGGTCTGGTATGGATTCTAAGAGGGTCCCGAAACAAAAAGGTTGGGTTCCCCCTTTACATCAAGGTCCCCCTCCACATTGGGAGCCCCTTTACATCACAATCCCCCCTTTCACATCAGAGCTCCCCTTCACCTCAAGAGCCCCCCTCCTTTCATATCAGTCCCCTTTGACTTCAGGAGTCCCCTCTTCACATCAGAGGCATGTCGCTGTGGGAAAATTTCAAGGCACCCCCTGAAGAAGCCAGGAGGCACCCCAGGATGCCACGGCAGACTGATTGCGAAAGACAGATCTAGATCATAGCCTTTTAATGGGCTATTTCTTTTTGTCATATTATTTTTGGCTGGAGTTCTGCTTCAAGGCACCCACTGAATGTGACTCGTCAGTGTCAGGGCCTTAGTCTGTAATAGTTAATGGGGTTAAATCAACAAACGGTTTCTTAGTGATGAAATAATTAAAGTAGCAGGATGAATTTTGCTTGATTGAACACATTTCTAACAGTGAAAGTGGTTTTGATTTGAGAATTTCCATTCATTTTAGTATCGAATGTTAAATTCAAACAAAATTTGGCACAACATTCGTCAAGTCTTTGATGGCATTATTTACAAAAATCTACAGTATATTTGTGCCTCAAGGTGGATCACTTTAAATGTCTCTACTCATAAAATGTATAGGGCTCCGTCTCTTTTGTGCTTCAATTACTGAAGTTATAGGGAAATTCCACCTTAAAAAAAATGAATGCACATATATTCATAAAAGTCAAAATGTGCATTTGTTATTTCTTTGCATTGGAGCCAGTAAAGCATTGTAAGTGTTAGGGATGCACCGATACCGATACTAGTATCGATGCCGATACCAAGTATTTGGCCGAGTACTCCGATGCCTGGCCCAAGTACTTCCTGTTTTAGGAAGCCGGCAGTGCGTGATTACACGCGGCCCGGTTTCCTGATTGGCCGGGAAGCGGCTCCATGCTCTCTCGTCACTTGTGACGTCACCAGCCAGGAAGTCCGGCGCCATGTAATGATGCAGCGCCCGGCATTCTGATGGGCTGGGAAGCCGGCTTCATGCTCTCTCGTCATCTCATGACGAGGGAGCATGGAGCCGGCCTCCCGGCCAATCAGAA